CTCTGCTTGGCGCCGTTTCTCGTAGGTTGGTAGGCTGTCAAAGGCTGAGCAATCGATGCACATAGATGAGCGCAGCCGGTTGAAGGGAGGCGTGGGGTCCACGGCTGGTAGACGCATGTCAGCAGTGGCGATGTCTCAGCCTTCTCTTCACCTTTAGATAAATCCATCATCGCCCTGGCAGCACTCTCTTTATTGTTGGATAACTGCAACCGTTCCGTTCGATCCAGACGTCGCTTCCACCAGATTTCGTGGCCATGAACTTCCGCAACGGCCTTCGAAGCGTCCGTAGCGCCTTCCGAGATCTCAAGCGAGATCTCAAATCGACACAATGGCTGCGAGGATTAGGGTGGTTCTTTGGGTTCATCTGGGTTTTTGTCCTCTTAGCCAGTCTGTTATTAGTCGCTATCGGAGCGGTGTCGCTGTTTCGTTCTGATCTCAAGGCTTGTCAAGCGGACGGCAGTTTTCGTCTAGATCCAAGGACGTACAGCATGTGGTCCTCATCTGGCTTTTTCCAAATTACATTAGGTGGAGGACATCTGACGTTTGCAGAAGCAAAAGCTATTGACATCATATGGGACGTTGTGAGCTGGCCGCAGTTCGAAGGCACGGAATTTCATACTGACGAATGATAGGCTGTGGGCCGTGGAGGTCAACTGTTGTTGGCAATTGTATCGTGGCGCGAATTCGCAAGGTATCTAACGATATGCATGGAAGACAAACCTGTCACCTACCGGCTATTTCGGACGATATTTATCGAGAATGATGCTTCAATAATATCGACATGCCGGACTGTCAAGAGTTTCATTCGGCAACGGAGACTACGTTCCAAAACCGCCATGGTTTTCATGGTTGCCTCCATGTTATTTATCCTGGCTTTTCCAACGCTCATGAGCGCTATGAGTGGCTACGACTCCAACGTTGTATCTCGTGTCCAAGATGGCGATAATAACCTTGTCCCTTTCGACAAGTATGTGCGGGTCCTCTATGTCATTCACGATGGCTGGAGAGTCGGCGAAGAGGGCGAACACTGGATCAGGGACGCAGCAACTTCATGTGAGCATATTGTTCCCTTCCGTCTCCGTCCAAGAAGGATCAGTCAATGACCGAGACATGTAGATGATCCCGTGCTGAGCCCAGACGTATTCTGCACTTCTCTCGAGCCGTCGAGTTCCGACAGCTCTACGTGCAACTTAGTAGCAAATGTCTCTCAATGTAAGACAGTGCGTGATCTATATGGTGTACCTACTCAGCAGCCACAGATGTAAAAGAATATGGGCTCGGCGGAACCCGGAACGAAACATCGCAATTTGGGGACACGCCCATACAATCACCTGTCCTCAACATCTCTGCGTACAAAAGCGAAGTTGAAGACTTCGGAGGTCAAGACTCTCCTGACCGGCTAGACATAACTTGGATGAGGGAGAACAAAACCTTTGATCGAACCTACATGGAGCTATACGGAAAGTGCCAGAACACGGGGGTAGGTCGTCATTAAGCTGTGAAGTTGTTGTCACATCACACTAAACATCTATTTCAGGACTATAAATGGGGATTTTCGCTTTTGCAGCTCATGATCAGCCTCATCCTCCTGCTCGCATGGACCGTAGGAATCTACATCATGTGGATCTATACACATTTCACGATTTCGTCAATCAACGGCCAATACGAAGAGGTATCTGGAGAACATCGCGCAGTCCTTAAGTTAGCAGCAGCTATGAGGATCGAGCTCGATGTGGATGACACTGATCTTTCACTGCTCACCGAGAAGCAACTCAAAGAAAGGGTTGACAACGAGATACAAGGCGGCACAGTCTTGCATGCCTATCCTGACTCCAGGCTGAAGGCCCATAGTATTCGGAAAGGCCTCAAAAGTTGGTTTAAGAAGGATAAATGGTGGTTCTTGGCTATGTTGGGTACAAGTCTAGTTTGCTCGATCGGATCGATGTACGATGGGAACCCCTTCTTCTACTGGCTTTCTGGAGTTTGCATTGGCCAATTCTGGGCTTTCTGCATAGGTACCACTGTGGGCAGTCGACTTCTTATTATCCTACTTCACAGCCTTGTGGCTGGACTTATTGTGGGCACTCTGGGCATTGTGGCAGCATTGCTATACAGGTAGGGTCATGGTGCAAAATGTCATCTTTACTACGCTATGCTCTGTAAAATGACTACCTAGGTAGGCCGCAGTACGTGTACTGGCCCCTAGCCCATTATTTTACACTTCTGCCTGTGCTGCCGTAGAACTCCATAACCCGTTAACCCTCAGAATACGCCAGACGCTCCGCTCGAAAGAAACACCACTCCATCTCAGTTCACCTGACCTTTGCTCTGTGCGGATGCAAGGCTTTGGTCAGTTGCATAGCGGGAACCATCCTCCTCTTCCGAGTACAGAGTCTGATCGCCTTTGCCGCCCATCTCGACGAACTCGTTAGGATTCCGCTCATCGGCAGGCCTTACCTCTGCAGCACCGTGGGTCTTGCCGTTCATCTTTGTACTGTTCTCAACTCCATTCTTTGCGTAAACCTTGACGGGCTCCTGGCCTTCAGCGGCGTTGATGACACGAGTGACCTTAACATCATTAATGCTACTAAGCATAGTGCGCTCCCGTTGTATCTTGCGCTTGGAGAAATCGAGCTTGGATATGGCCCCCGTAAGACCGTCTGTGCTGTCGGTGACGCTTATTTTGTCTTGCGTAGTCCACGGGTGCTGCAGGCATTCATCAATCGATATCCGTTTCTCAACATCGACTGTGAGCATCTTGTCGATGAGATCTAGCGCAGGGTCGCCAACGGAATCCCAGTACGGCGACGGATAGTCGAAGCGGCCCATTTTGATCTGTTGCGATAGTGTGTATGGGTTGTCCTCACTGTACAGCTCGTCTGAGAAGGGAGGAAACCCACACAGGCAGATGTACAGTACGACGCCCAATGACCAAACGTCTACAGCTCTGGTGTAGCGGCGGTGGTTGGAATTTTCCAGAATTTCGGGCGCAACGTCTGGAAAAATTAGCATACTGTCGTACTTTGGAATAGGACAACATACATGACGGAGTTCCACATAGTGTTGTTGTGAAAGATTCTTCACCGATAATTTTGGCAAGACCAAAATCAGCCAGCTTGATCGACAGATCCTTATCTGTGAGCAAGATGTTCTCGGGCTTGATATCTCTGTGTACAATGTTGCGCTCATGCTGGTATGTGTTAGCGTTGAACCAGAAGGATATCTGGGGACTTACCAGGTACTTAACCGACTGGAACAATTGCACAAATACCTTGCGCGCCTCCGCCTCGGTCAACTTTTGCTTCATGACGATCCAGTTGAACAGTTCGCCCTCAGTCGCGAGCTCGAGCACTAGGTAGACACCATCATCCTCATCAAATGTGTCCTTGAGACAGAGCAGCGCCGGATGGCTAACACTCATAAGCACGGCAATCTCTTGCTGCAGACCCTCGACCTTGGACTTCTCGCCAGGACCAGAACGCTTCTCGAACTTCTTCACTGCGTACCGTACGCCAGTCGCTTTCTCTGCGCAGAGGTATACTGAAGCAAAATGACCCTTGCCTAACTGCTCCTGCATGGTATATTGTTGTCGGAATCGGTGGGTGTTGCGCTTCAACGGGTATCTGAAGACATAGCGTGCTTGGTCCAAGATGGCAATCTCGTCACCTTCGCGCAATTCGCGTCGCTTGTTCCGTCCAACGAAGATGTCGTTGACAAATGTTCCGTTTCCAGACAAGTCTTCGAGTACAGCGACAACATCGCCGCCCTTCTTCTCTGTGAACAGCAGACAGTGCCGGTTTGAGACGGTGGGTGAACTGAGGACTCGATCTGCAAAATGTCAGACAAGCGCTCTTTCGCAGGGACTATTACCGCGACTTACCGCACTCTCTGTGGCGACCGATGAGGTAGCCACCTGCTGGTACACCGCGCTCCTGCTTCTCTTTCTCGTACTTGTCCTCCTGCTTCTTGTACTCTTCTTTGCTTACCCGCTCTATTCCATCGGTCTGGCCAACGAGTGCCTGCGGAACGGGACAGGCCTGTCGCCGGCGCAGTACTAGTACGTCTTTGTCCCGGCCATCCATAGGCACCAGGTAGCCCCAGACCTCTTCTTCCTCCTCATCTTCTACGGCGTACGTCCGGCTGTCGGGCGGGTAGACGAACTGGGAGAAGGGCTGGGTGTCGGATGGGGGCGACGAGAGACCGCCGCGTGCCTGGCTTGGCTTGCTAGGCGGGGGGCTCTGTGTGCCTTCTTTGTAGCCTTCCGAAGCGTCTCCGGTGGATTCCTTGTGGGTTACAGGCGAAGGCAACGGTCCCTGCTTAAGACGGCCGTTGGGGGGCGGCGACAGGCGCGAGTGGCGAGTGCGCTTTGGTTCGGCCTCTTCGCCCTGCGAGTACTACAGCAATTGAAGCGTCAGCGCCCGCTCGCAGTCACATACTTGGCAGTACAACGGCTACCTACGCGGTTTCGCTTGAGCTGGCTTTTCTCAGTCTGGGCCGGCATCTTGACGACAAGGGCGAGTAGTGGAGTCGAGACGGAGACGGCGACGGAGACGGGGTCAATGCTGGCGCGGGTGTGACTGTCTAGATAGGCAGCATAGTGTTGCGAACGATGGAAACGAATAGTAAGGGCGGGCGAGTCTGGGCCGCTAAGCTGGACTGAGATTGAACGACCGCAGGCCCTCGAGCCTTGGACGATGTTGCAGGCAGCCAAGCTCTGGAGCCGGGGAAGTCGCGTCGCACCCCTGCCGATTTGCGCGTGGCGAGCCTGCCGCGCCCTGTTGAGTGGCCCGGAGCGACGCACCGGCTACACCTACTCACCCTATGACAGCTTCCTCATCTGCATTACTCAGCCCGAACAAAACCACGCACAAGCATGCTTTCAGGTTTTCCTCACCTCGATGCAATTGAGTTTGAGCAGGCCTGCGATGCGCTGCAGCGATGCTTCCAGCTGAGAGGTAGCGCGCAGCACGAGTGGCTTTCCGTGGAGAAGAGGCACCGAAATGGGTCCGTATATCTCAACATTACCACCCATCTGCCGCTCTGCGCAGATCGACCTGCGGTGCATGATCGGGACGCCATCGAAGAGGAGGAAGCAGTAGACGACGACGAGGTGGGTGATGCCAGTGCCCTGATCTGCCGATACGAGCTCAGCCTAGGTAGGAAGCTCTCCACGACGCCGTAGCACCCCAGCCAGTTGTAGACTACGATATCGTCCTATCGGATGTCTATCGCGTGCCCGTCTTGTACATCAGCATTCGTGACCCTGAGCACCGGTATCCGCCGACAATGACTACGTTGTACGAGCACTTGGTCCCGCCACAGTTCAAAGCTCAGACAGAGAATGTTGGTGTCATTGGAGGCATTACCATTACTGTGAGAAGTGTGATCCCATGTATTGGATCCAACTAACCATCGCAGGAGCACCCACTCACCAACAGACCCGTGTTCTTCATCCATCCATGTCAGACGGCTGATGTGATGGAGGCCAGTGTCGAGAGCGTCATAACAGCAGATAAGTACCTGACCATATGGATAGGGGCCATGGGAAAGGCCATTGGTCTGAATATGCCGTTACAACTAGCAATACCAAACGATACTTGATATTGACATGCTTGATTTACAATTCGTGTCACAGTATAATACAACTACAACCGCATCCGTACACTTGCCTTCTCTAGCTCGCCAATGTTGCCCATACCCGCCAGGCTCCACTTCTCCGCCACGAAGCCCTCATTGACTTGGTGTCGTAGCATCCCGCTTTCGGCGTAGTACTCCATGATCGATCGCGCCTCTTCCTTGGTCAGCCCGCCGACATTGATAATGTCAAGCTCCTTGGAGCCGCTGTGGAGATCCTTGAGAGCCTCCATGACGCGCACGTCTACGCTCTTGTAAGGGTTCCATTCTGGCAGTTTGTCTGCAGACTTCTGACGGGCTTCGGCTGCTTCGATGCAGTGGTCCATGGCTGGTGACGTAGGGGCGTTTGATCGTGATGTTGCGCCGAGCACCACGCCGCCGTTGGGTAGTTTCCTTTGGCCTGAAAGGTGATCGACGAAGTGGCGTACAAGAGTCAGATCGTGAGCGTGAATTGGCTTTACTTCTGCAGACATGTACTCGGAGTGGCGCATGATATGCGACAGACCATCGAGCGCAAGCAGAATTTGTGGACGGCCGGGCAGAGATAGTTCATTCCATAACGCAACAAAGACTGGCCATGATGCCTCGGGGTTGGCCATACCAAGCGCCGCCAGCTCTTTCAGTGTAGCACCCGCAGGAAGCGGCAGAGGCAGTTCAGGCAGCGTGCTCAATTTTGTGGCAGCAAGGAATGGCCCGTTGGAAAGGAGGATTTGCTGGAGAAGATTTGCCGTGTACGTATCTTGAGTATATTGCATCGGTTCTGAGTTGGGAAGAGGCGCATAGTCTGTATGCGCGTTGACGAGGGTTTGGGCTGGGAGTTGTCAGTGGCATGTCTCTGCCTCGAAACCACAGTCCATACCTTCTGGGATGTTGATCACAAACCAGTCCCGTAGAAAACCCATGGTAAGGCCCTGAAGTACCAATGTGCTCTTCCCGCTCATTCTTTGTCCGCACAGTATCCGTCTTATCGTCTTCTTGGAGCTCTCGGCCTCGTTGAACAGCCTCGCGAGTTCAATCGCCTCCTTCCTCATCAACACGGCTGGTCGGCGGAATAGACCCCATCCTTGGCTTGTTTTGAATGCCTCGACGGCTCGCAGCGCATCCACTACAGTCTCTTGCGGTAGTCCCATGACCTTGCCCTCATTCTGTTCGCTGAGCACATTGTCCTTGGTGAGGTCCCGCAGCGAAGATACTTCGAGTGCGTTGTCGTTGCTCAGAACGATGCGCTTCCGCTGGGCTTTTCGCTCTCCTTGGGCGGGCCGCTTGCCCGAGTCACCTCCCGATGCTCCTCTGCCCTTCTTCGTGTTCAGAGACTTGACACCCTTCTTGGGGGCGGCGGTCATGCCCTTCTTCTTGGGTCCTGTCACGGCGTAGCGGGCAGACGACGTGGAAAAGCAGGCTATCTGGGGGCGCAGCACGCGCGGTGCAATGCATCCATGGGCGGCGACATCGAGCGACAGCTGCGAGAAGCTCCGGAGACACGTGGACGGCGGCATGACGGGTGATTGAGGCTCTGGCCCTCCGCAATGGGCGAATTGGCGATGCTAGAGACGAATTCTGTGATGGTCGCAGCCTCGGGAGTCCGCCGCTCGTGCACGGACTCGAAATTTATTCTGAACTTTTGGCAGCAGGCGCGCAAAGTGAAATTCCACCAAAACCACTCGACCCTCGCAAAATGTCAGACACCGAAATGGACGGCGGCGTCGCCCTCGGTGGCACTTCGCCCACGCATTCCCAGCTCGCTGACGAAATCAACGGAGGCGCCATGGACGTCAAGTCCAACGGCGCACCTTCCGTCGCAGACTCGACCGTCTCCAGCCGACTGTACGTCGCATGCTTGCTTTGTCCTCTACCGCACCGTTGCTGACTCAACCAAGACCTGTCACGGTGAACAAGCCCACGCCCTTCACCTTTGACCTGGGCAACCTGCTCGCAAACGACCCCAACCCCGTCCCCGCCGGCGCCGACGAAGCCACCCTCGCTGCCACTGCCCGCGATGCCGCTCAAGCCCTCATCAACCAGCTCCTCTCGACCTGCGAAATCAAGTCAAACTCAGAGGGCGTCCACCTCGTGCTCCCCGCGCCGACAACACCCCTCCCCCGCGAGAAGCCTATTCCCGAAGCCAAGGAGCCCACCAAGTGGGACAAGTTTGCTGCGAAGAAGGGCATCAAGAACACGAAGCGCGACACCAAGCTGGCTTACGACGAGGCCACGGGCGACTGGGTACCCAAGTGGGGTTACAAGGGCAAGAACAAGGCGGGCGAGAACGACTGGCTGGTCGAGGTTGACGAGAAGAAGGAAGCCAAGACCGGTGAGGCTCACGACCAGAGGGCGGATAATCGGAAAGACCGGAAGGAGAGGATGCGCCGCAACGAGAGGAAGGAGCGCGCGAACAGCGTCAAGTCTCGAAAGGTTGGTGCGTGAGCTGGAGCACTTGACCTTTACCTGAGAGAGGCCAATTTATAAAACGACATGCATTGGGCGGCGTTCATCTTACGGCATGTATTCGACTTACGGGCGCAGGGCTAAAAGCTTGCGAACTTGCACTTTATTGATTCTTTCCGAGGCTGCAACATTGTCTCCCAGATACCATGAGCAACCACGCCGTCGAATATACCATTTCTGCACTTTATCGAGCTACGCGTTTACTATCCAAGTGAAAATGAGTCGGAAGTTTGGAAGCTTACTTCAACAAGCCAAGGTTCAGAAGTTTCGACAGTGCCATGTCTATTGCGACACGCCTAGAGTCCGCTCTACTGTTCTGCCTAAGCTTCAACCCTACATTTTAAAGAGTATATAGGAAATCTGGCCGCTGGTCCCCCATCTCCTCAATCTCTTTTTCACTCTTACCCTCAATCCAGTGATCCCTCGCTCCCTGCCTCCTCTTCTTGTTCTCCCACGCAAGCAGAAATCGGGTCACAATGCTCCCGCCAAGCAGCCACAGCGTCAGATACGCCAGAACCACACCATGTCCTAGGAAATAGCGCGGCTTATCCCTACTGCGGTAGATGTTCGACGAAACGACGCCATTGATGTTGCCCCAGCCTATCACAAAGCCAAGGGTGACGCCACGCTTGTACACGCCCTCGACGTTGTTGGCGGCCCAGGATATGGTATTCGCTATCGTTGCTAGTAAAGCATGTTAGGACCCAGCGATGCATGCTGCTAGATGAGTTCACTTACGATAGATACCCACAGCTCCCAAAAATGTGCCCGCGTACTGAACGTTCGGACTGGCAGATCCGAGCAACATGGCAAAGCCCACGATACCAAAGAGCGAGACTCCCATATTGCAGTAACCCCTCTGTTGCGTGCGATCAGCAATGTAACCCACTACCACCGTCACCACAGCTGCAACTGCATACGGTGGCACGGAAAGCAGGTTCGCTGTCGTAGACTTATAGCCCAACCCGGCAATGATGGTGGGCAGGAAGAGACTGAAGGCATAGAGCGAACCGTCTGCGCCCATGTAGATAATGCTAAACATGAGCGTCTTCCAGTCCTTGACGGATTGCCAAAAGTACTTGGTCTGGAACTCTTCATGCGCAGCTGAGGCCTGTTTATCGGCGCGCAGACGGCGGAGAACGCGCGCTCGGTCGTCAGGAGAGAGAAACGTGGCTTCGGCGGGGAAGTCGTGGACCATCCAGTAACTTGCTATTCCTACGAGGATGGTGGCGAGACCTTCAAGAATCTGGCTTTACCGTCAGCAACATAGTCACATGTAAGAAGAAGCGTTGAAGGTGCACTTACGAAGATCCATGCCCAGCCTGGCTTTCCGCCTACGCCTCCCATCTGCGCAATTCCAGCGGCGAGTAGGCCACCGAAACTACCAGCTAGAGCGGCAGCCGAGAAGAAGATCGCAGCTCGGATGCCGAACTCGGATCGTTTGTACCAGCAACTCAGGTAGTAGTTTACTCCAGGAAACAGTCCAGCCTCAGCACATCCCAGCCACCACCGCTATGCATCGTCAGCAAAATGACCCTTGGTACCGGATCACCAACCCCAAAAGACTCACCGCAGTCATAAGACCTGCATAATTATGCACCAACCCCATACACGTCATACAAATCCCCCACCAGATCATGATAAGTGGTAAGAAGATACTCGGTCGTAACTTCTTCAACAGCACATTGGTCAACGGCTCAAAGACGGAGTAGCTGACGAAGAAGATGGTCAGACTGGCATTGTACTGGCCGTCAGTCATGTTGAGGTCTTCTTGTAAACCATCGACTTTGGCGTTGCCAATGTTCGTGCGGTCTAGGAAGGAGATCAAGTAGAGGAAGGAGAGCCATGGAATTAGTCGGAAGTCGAGTTTGCGGAGGAGGGCTTTGTCCTGTAGGGTGAGATGTTAGTATGTATATGGCAAGGAGCTGAGATGTGGCTTACATGCGCAGCGCGTTCTTCTTCGCTGAGACCGGCGTCGGGATCAGGTAGGTTCTCGATCGTGTGGATATGTTTTGCCGTTTCAACATGCTCCTCGCCGATAGTCTTCTCTTCCTCGCTCGACCTATCAATCGGCCGCTCTACTCCAGAGGCCATGTTGTTGACGTAGATACAGGGCGTGAGCTAGTAGCTGGGCAAGATGTCAAGCCTCAAACAAGCCTCTTAGTGAATCCCAGTGCCCAGAGCGCAGAAAAGGGTTCGCGCAAGAACGTCAAGCAACAAATCGCGGTCCGAAAGAATCACAAGTCAGTATTCTCAACCATGGAACTGGGAACTTGCTTGTCCGGAATTACCCCTCGATCAGCGAGCGAGACGCTGTCCCTTAAGAACGTCACCGACTGTCGAACCACTGGAGAAAGCGGCTGGGGTATCATCAGCCCGAGGCTATTGAGCCGCCTATCATCTAGTCCACTCATGATGATGATCTTGTTCCGATGACGGCAGGGACTGGTGTGCATTTCTCCAGGATCCAATCCCCACCATCCACTCCCTAGCGCTTGCCGATCCCTGGCTTCACCACCAGA